TAGAAGAATGATTTTTAACCCCCCATCTCTTCAAAATGCTAAAGGTTTTTACACTTAAACCTCAGTTCTGACCTGATTAGGGAAGAGGTATTTGCATTTTAGATGGGATTCTTGGTTTTAGGTGTCTTAGAAAGTTTAAGAGTGAAAAGAACTTAAAAACCCCAGTCACAATCTTTTTCCAAATGAGGAGATGTAGAAGTGTCCCACTCCTAAGTTTTCACTGGGAGTGAAATGTGAGGGGTTTGTAGAACATTTAGAAGGTTCTAAAACAAGGTAAGCTCCCCATCGTATACCTGGATATTTTAAATTCTGTTGGCTATTGTTTGCCAGGAAAGATAACGAAGAGGCTCCCAGGGACTAAAAGGAATGGCAGAAACTGAATGCGAAAGTATTTGAGCTTGATTTGATGCCAGTGTGCTATTTGGAACAGTGGATTAACGAAACAAACTAAAAAGGTAGTCCAAGATGAAAACGACTAATAACTTATGCTTTTCCTAGGTCATTCTGCACAAAAGGATGATAAAACAAAGGTAGGTTGGAGGTGAATCTTTGTTTTTCATGAGCGTATTTTGTGTATTTCCAAGGTGTATTATGATAGTGGCATCTCATTCTGAAATGTCATCCATACTCAGCATTGGAAAAAAACTTCTATGTTTAAATCTTAAGGAGGCAAAAGATACCACATGTATACAAAACAATACCCTCTAATAGTAGAGAAATGGTGTTTAATACACATCTATTCTCTCTAAATTCCAAGAAATCATGAGGGCTACAATGTATCTGAAACAAAGTGGCACTAAAGATTTTGATACTTTGAAATGAGCTCTAAAAACTAAAAAACCACTATAGAAGGCTTGCTTTCAATGGGTCAGTACGTTAGGAAAGTACCTAATCATCTTTCCTCTCGGCTTCCTTTAAAAAAAACACAAAAAAAACAAAACAAAAAACAAACTCCAGACAACCACACCAGGTAAGTTGGTGTGAAAACCAGAATGCAGAGCGGTCTGGAAAACAAAAATAAAAAAGTATTTGGGGAAAGGGAGAGGGCACACAGTTAAGGCATCTTAAAAAAAAATCCATATGGCTTTGGTTTACTGAAATATTTTTACACTGTTAAAGAAAAAGGGAAATACTTCAAAGCATCTAAAAAATAAGAGAAATGCCTGAATACATAGCGTATGACAATTGAGACAGTTTAAACATGTGGATATCAAACACAGAAGCCTTCTCCCTGTGAAACTGTATATGGTCACCTAGATATTTATCTTACAGAAGATGGCAACCCTGAAGTCTGTGCAGAAGTTACATACAAAGAATTGTTGTCTGGAAGGGTGGGAACCATGGAGTTTCCATTGGTTGGGGAGCAGCCCAACTTCAGTTTTTCCAGATACTCAGCATGCACAGGCTTATGACACTGAAGAACTTTAATGGCATCTTCAACCTTAAACCACTCTCTCTTCCTCCCTAAGGGGGAAAAAAAAAGTAGAATCACTTTAACTATTAAAAAAACCTATTTTAAAGGCAGCTTATCCCTTACCACCCCTAACTCCCATCAAGTCAGTAAAATATTTTAAGAGTTCAATGTCTCCCCATGGATCAACAGGACTAATTCCTCAGAATTTAAATAAAATATCAAATGTCAGGTTAGTCTGAAGACTGTATAAATAACTGCTGGATCAAGGAGTAATTTCAAAACTATACATTTGTCTGGCAGTTAACTGTAACATAAAAGTAGGAGTCTGTCATAATAAAATGTTTAATTCTAGGTCATTTCATATCATGTAAAATGAAGATGACAAGAACATGACTGGCAGAGACATTAGGCAGGGCCCAAAGATACATCCATTGGCAAAGTGCTTAATTTGCTAAAACTGCAATATACTTTTTTTTTTCCTTTTTGGTGAGGTAATTGGTGTTAAATGACTTGCCCAGGGTCACACAACTACTAAGTGTCAAGTGTCTGAGGCTGAATTTGAACTCAGATCATCCTGACTCCAAGGCTGGAGCTCTATCTACTGTGCCACCTCGCTAACCCACTGCAATGTTTTTATTCAGCATAATATTACATGGTTAAAGTCAGGATGCCAGCTAATATTAAAATAATTTATAGTATTCCCATACTTTCAGCGAAACACAGCACGTGAAGTCAACTTGCTTATTAAAACAAAGAGTCTCTCCTTAAATATACGAATGAGTTTTTTGGCAGCTCCAAATATTAAATGACATGCATTTTGGAACATGGATGTGAGAGATGAAGAACTAAAAAAAAAGAAGGAAGCAGTTCAGATATACTCATTTACTACCTTTTAATTCTCCCAAAAAGGTGTCTATGCATCATGAATTTAGTCATACTAATTTCTGGAACTAGTTCATGGGTATATCAGTGTACAGTCAATTCTACTTCTTTCTTTAAAAATCTTTTATAAAGGAGATTACAAAACAATTTAAAAACATTTACCTATGTTAACAGAATCCTCCCAGTCTTCCAATATTTCAGTGACGGTAAGAACATAAACATAAGTGCGATGCTTACGGTCTTGATTCTGCTTGAATATGAAAAAGATGACACTTTAATCTACAGGCTCATGGTTTAAGAATTTCACCATATCTACCAACAGTAATATTACAAAGAAAAAGCATTAAAATTAGGTATATTCACACCTTTATAAACAGGCATATTTACTTTTTGATGGTCTTGATGAGAGAAATGTCATTGTCAATATAAATCATTACGAAATTGAAGCCCACATGAGCTGGAATAAGGACAGGGCCAACTATCTTTCCATTACTGGACCTGATCCTCACAGAGACTTGTAAATAAGTCATTGCTGTATCGAGCTAGAAATCTACTAATATCAAAAACAGGCGTCAACAGGGCAGACAAAAGCAAGACTTGAGCCGGCATTGTCTGATTGTGAACTTTCCCCCAGTGAAAAAAATTTAACAGGTAAAAAATTCAGATTTCAAACCAAAAACAGCCTATGTAGTAACAAATTTTGTAAAGTAGTATATAATAACGAAGGCATCTTTAGAACAAAATATGGCATATGAACATAATGGAATACTACTGTCCTGTAAAAAATAAGGGGATTAAGAAAAACTAGGTGAAATTGTATGAACTAACGCAGTGAAGCGAGCATAACCAGGAGAACAATCTATGCAATCGTAAAGACAAACTCTGACAACGATCAATGATCAATCACATCTCCATGACTCCTGACAGGACTAGGGTGGATGGACTTGGGTGGAAGACAGACATTTTTGTGGACATGGCCAATGCAGGAATTTTTTTCTTTTTTGTTTGACTATGCATATTTGTTATAAGTGTTTTGTCTTCCTTTTTAAATGTGGAAGGGATGGTTTGGGATAAGCTACCTTTAAAATGGATTTTTAACAGTTACTGGTTCAAGGTAGAAGATGCCATTAAAGTTCTTCAGTGTTGTAAACCTGTGGGAAAACTGAAGTTTAGCTGCTCACCAACCAAGAGAAATTGGTGAATTTTAGTTAACTGAGAAAATATTAAGGCCATCACCACATCTACAGTTTCATTAAAAAAAAGAACTACTGTGGTTCTTGTCCATGCACTAACTTAGAAAAGGAAAGAGAATGACTAAATTTATTTGCATTGGAGACAAGAAAACTAAACCAAAAGTTTTTGCCATCCCATTCTTATTCACCTCAAATAATCCAAGGAAAAATCAGACATTTTCTAACGACTCCCCAAAGCAACAGGAGCTTAAAGGTGTGTGGGTGGGGTGTGTGTGTGTGTGTGTGTGTGTGTGTGTGTGTGTGTGTGT